CCACCACCACCACTCGCGGAGTCTGCGGAACCAGTCTGAGAAAAAGATATGCTAAGGCAGCTCCAGCAAGCTCCCCCTTCAATCCGCTTAGAAAAATTAAAGTAAACCATGAGAAACGTTCGCGGAAAGAAGCAAACATGCGGAAGTGCCCCTCCCCCTGCTGGGCTGGCGCGCAGGGCGAGCGTCTACTGACCCACAGGCATGCACACACTAAAGCCACCCAGCACCGCAAAGCAAAGCAAAACGAGGAGAAGCAGGTCAAGTTCAAAGTAAAAGCGTACCCTGGTCGCTACCTTCTCATCCGCTGACTTGGCGACCGACACCGCCCTGCCGGGCTTGGGTAGGCAGGCCGCCGGCGACGACGACCCCGACGTCGAGGACGAGGAGGACGCCGAAGTGGAGGTGGAGGACGCCGTCGAGGTGCACGACGAGGACGAGCACGAGGAAGGCGGCGGAGGGCCCTCGACGCGCTTGATCCTGGTGACGCTGCCGCCCTTGACGCCGATGGACGTGACGACGATGACGCCGCCCTGGCCGAGTCCCGGGTGCGCCAGCGGCCCCACCGCCACGGCGCCCCCCGGGGGTCTTGGGCGCGGCGGACCGCCCCCGGGACCACCACCGGGTCCGCCCCCGGGCCCGCCCCCGGGGCGCCGCTTGAAGATGGCGGGCTGCACGGGGCTGTGCCGCGCGCACGCCAACATGGCGGTGCTCCTCGTCACCTTGGCGGCTGCATCAGCGTCCTGGCGGCACCCTGCGAGTCACACAACGCACGTCGTGGAGCACACCGTGGTGGCACGGGAGGAGGGGTCGGGTCGGGTCCCATTAGCTGCCTTCCCTAGGTAGTGTGACAGCGCTCTGATGACGCACGGAAATGCTCTCGTTGTAGGGCTCCGCCAGGCCGGCGGGCGAAAGCTCTATTTCTCAATTTGCATGGTTATGTTTCGGCAATAACCGTGATGCATGTTTACCCCCGCGCGCCACGGCCGTAGTCGCTAATACCCCATAAAGTAACTCATTTTTCCTCGCAGCCCACTTTACCGGGCGATCCCATTTCCGCAAAAAAACCTACTCGCTCGCCCGCTTGCTTGCGACCGCTCGATAGTACCCGCTTGAATGTGTGTTTGTGTTTCGTTTTCCCTTCGAGTTGCAGCCGGGCGCGGTGCCCCGCCTCGGCACGCAGCGCCCAAGTCTTTCCATCAGTCTCGCGCTCCCAATTTCCTTTCCGCCACTTTGAATCAACGCGTTACATCAAAGAGTGTCGCCCGCCAATGAAAAAAAAAGGCGAAAGGTACGTGGAGAGGAAAAGATGGGAGAGAGACAGAAATAGAGAGAGAAAGGGGGGGGGGGTGCAGATAGCAGAGGAAGACTGAAAGAGAGTCAATCGGAAAAATTCGTTCTCTCGCTTTTGCCCGCATTTAATCACTGCTGCAGTGGGGCAGAAAACAAAAACGAAACGCGAGAAAAATAAGGTGCTTTGCTATCTGCGATTGCGCGGACCCAGCGCTGGTAGCACCCAAAGAGCCACTTATTCATACACCGGCAAAAAAGAAATGAAAAGCAAAACAAAAACAGTCAACCGAGTCAAGTTTGTAAAGTCTCGAGCCGATGGAAGCCAGGCCGCACAGACTGCAACGACTACACTGCGCCCCACATTGTCAAAGAGGGAACAAAACCTTTTTCGAAAACAAAGTGGATCCTTATTTCATAGTTTGCAGCAGCGGGAGCCGGCAGCAGCCCTCTGCTGCACGGAGCAGTTGGCACAGCGCCCCGCGCAGCGCCCTGCCCTACCTACCCCGCCAGCCGTGGCGAGTGCAATGTTCAACTTTGCTTATTGTCTTTACGAGCAAAGCAAGGAAAAATAACACGAAACAAGACTTGTGTTGGGGGAAGAGCCGCGCAGTTTGAAGTAATGAGTAGACACAAGCCATTATTGCACATGCCAAGGGCCGCACTTTCATCTAGACGAGCGGCGCCATGTCGTGCAGGCCCTGCTCCCTGCGTCCGTTCCAGTAAACGCAGCAGATATTAGCAAGAGAGAGGCGAGAAGCACACAGGGTGCGGACGTGGCTAGTGTTTACTCGCTCGCTCTCGCTCACTCTCTCGCTCTGTCTGTCTCTGTCTCTCTCTCTCTGTCTCTCTCTCTGTCTCTCTCTCTCTCTCTCTCTCTCTCTCTCTCTCTCTCTCTCTCTCTCTCTCTGGCACACGCGACAAGACAAAACAAAAAGTACGCGACAATTAGAGAGTGGCCGCGACCCACATTGAGGCTAGAGAGGCACGGTGGGGCACGGTGGGGCGTGGCGTGGCGGGGCGGGGCGCATGGCGCATGACACAACATGA